GTGAATTGATGTTGCACTAATCTTCAAGAGTTCCTCTATCTGCTTGTATGTTACGTGTCGATCTAGCTCAATTAGTAACTTAACGGCTGCTACATTTTTTAAAGTCACTGTTTCGACAGGCCTTCCTGAACGAGAATCGTCTGATAGATTAAAATCTCCTCTTTGGAACTGTTTATACCACCGATACACTGAGCTACGGGATGGAGCTTTCTCACGAAACACAAATTTCAATTCACTGATACAGTCATCAGCACTCAAACCCCGCTTGAAATTATAGAGCATAATTGCACGAAAATCACGACGCGTTAACTCTGACATCTTGAAGCAAAGAAAAATTTACAAAAAAAATTTGCGGGTAGCTAAAGATATTTTTTTATTTGATACTGTCTACTAATTAGAGGCACTATTATCGGTGACAGTTTGACGCATATACAATACTTTCGATAGTTAAACGATATCTCAAAACTTATCTAGTGCCCTACGTATATATTGGTCATGTTTGTCCGATGCTAGGCCGGTTACCGCGTCAACTCGTAGTTAGGTATTCTTCGTACTTGTAGGGAGCCGCCGCTCCGCGTGGATGATGCAATGATGATCCGATGCTGCGTTGTTTCGCGATGACCTAGGGCTCCTTTGCCTCCGCTGCACCGCGTACTATGCACCCACATGCACCACGTGTATGTCGCGATCCTCACCTCGTCGCATGTACCTTAGGTAGTTTATTCCTTCCTCCAAATGTAACATTCCTCTCATGGGCCACCAAATGCTTTATGCGGGTACGGTGACCTCATTCTCGGTACCTTACTGGAGTAACTCGTCCGCTCCGTCGTGCCGCTCGAAGATGTGCGGGTTCGTGCTAGGGGTGGCTTGGTAGGTACAGCTGCCAAAACCATCTACATGACAGCCATATGGAAAGCCTTAAATCAGATTAATATGCCGCAACCAACGCAAGAGGATTAAAAAATATATCACAAGGATATTTCTCAAAATGGCAATTCCCTAACTGCAAAGGCTCGATAGATGGAAAACATTTTCGTATAATGAAGCCCCCGCACAGTAACAAAAGTACAAGTACAGTAAAAATGTAGGCAGCGAATATTATATCTATAAAAAGTACTTTTCCTTAGTACTTCAAGCAATGTCGGACGCAGACTATAAATTTATTGCTATCGAGATTGGTGGAAAGGGACATCAGAGCGATGGTGGTTCTTTTAATTTTTCCATTTTGAACAAGTTGTTATCTAGTAATCGATTTAATGTACCCCCACCACAGAATTTGCCTGGCTCGAATATAAAATTACCACTGGTTTTGGTAGGAGACGAGGCTTATCCACTAAAGACATATTTAATGCCTATCTGGAAATTTTAACAGGAAAAAAAAAACTTTAATAAAAGACTATCACGCGCCAGACAAACCATTGGGTGCACTTTTGGTATTTTATCAAATAAGTGGCGCATTTTTATGAAATCTATTGAAACAAACACAGTGATTAAGTTGATTATGAAAACATCATGTTTGTTGCATAATATTGTACGGCAAAGAGATGGAGACAGTGACAAAGATTTTAGGGAATTCATGAACAATTGCGACGGCAACGACAACAACACAATAACTAGGTCCAGCTGTAATAATCGGGCCTCCTTACGAACAATTGCCATACGTGACCAGGATCAAAGCTATTTTGTAAATAATCCAATTTAAATAATAAAGTATATTATACTATAAAGTTAATAAATGTATCTACATTACATACTCCCGACAACATCAGCCATAAGTCGAGTAATTTAAACAACACGGATATCAAACCGTGTTTCAATCTAGGTTCCCTATTTATTTACGTAGGGTCAGTGTTTGGAAGACCGGCATACTTTTCTATAATTTAAGTATAACTAAAGTTATTGAACGAGATACGCTTTCTTTATGTCGTCGGAAATTATAGGTAATATATTAATTTACTTTTATTGGTGTAGAAATTATATTATTTGCAATAATCTTTAGATTTATATGATATTTTTTTAAACTCGGCGTGTATACGGACTTCCCGTGCAGTTTGAGGTAAGTGCATCTAGTAGCAATATAACCATAATTTGTGACACAATATGTATGAAAATAATTTCTAGCTGTGATGCAAAACTGGCGTCGAAATGTGTGCTTTATGTATTTGTCCGTAGGGTTTACATTTCTAAGTTATTTAACTTTATTTGATTTTAAGGCAAGTCCGGCATATCTTTGGTGACAGTGGTTGCAAACATATTTTATAAAATTGTAGCGAATTTTCTTTGAAATAAAATACTAAGTAAAAACATAAATCTTTATTTCTAATTGAGCATGTCATAAAGGGTTTAGCCGGATACGTATGACGAGTCGGCCCCCAAATGGGAATCGATATTGAAACTTATGTTTTAATATAGACTTGATGTTCAAACACGATTTATGTACTTTTCGCGACCGACTTCCGCTTTGACCTTGAGATAGAGAGCAAAATATCCGTATGCTTGACTATTACTGAATGTGATATATCTCTGAAGCTAATTAAGATAAAGAAGTGAAACTAACGCGAGGTGTTAGGTTACATTACAGAGTATATCACATATATTTTTTTATAATTTTTAGAATAAAAAAATACATTAAAAAAATAAAAATAAAAAATTTCATGTTTTTTTTTCTGACTTCTCTGTGACTTACAATCACGAAATTAATATATGTTATGCTCCTTTGTGTGCTCTATCACCCATAAAAATTGCGTGAAAAAAAAGTTGGTGCAACACAACGGAAAAAAAATATATGTGATCCGCGCCTTGTAGTGTGAGTGTATAAACAAACAAGTTCGAACTTGTTATCGAGCTGTTTACTGCATCGTTTGTTTAGCTAAAGTAGCAGTCATTTGTATTACACAAGAAGGCAGTTTGGGACTCAAATTCTGTCATACATATGTATTTTGTATCAGCATTTTGAAATTATTAACTATCGAACCAAATCATTATTAAGTAATAATGTCGAGAAAGTGTAAAAATTGTAACAAGTACCTGTGTAAGATGCCAGGAGACCAGGATAACCAAGATAACCAGGAGGTTATAAAAAAATTATAAAGAATGAAGAAGAAGCTAAAGTGTTTAGTGACTGTTTGAATAAAATCGTGATAGTTAATGATATTTTTTGTAAGAAGTGTCGACTTATCCCATATATTAACAAAAAAGCTTCTACTTCTAAATGTGCAGCATTTAAATTGGCCGAAATAATGGACGATCAAAATAATCTCTCAGTACAATATGTGAAATCAGCACCTAATATCATCAAAGCAGAAGTAAAATCAAGACGTATAAATAGAAAAGTCTATCGAATTTACATTCACTATATTTCCGAAGGTAATGACTACAATAGTATTCTTCGTTATTGCTGTGATTGCCCCAATGGCAAACGTACAGTGGGATGCTGTTCTCATGTAGCAGCTATTATTTATTATCTATCATATCGATGATATTTGTCCAAAATCGTACGTCCTGCTGAGGTCCTAACTAAGTTATTTGCGACTCAAAGTGTTCCGATTGTAATTAATTACAACAGTGACGATGATTAATATTTTGTTTCTTGTATTTTAATAGACACGAAAAAGTAATAATAATGAGTATTGAACACTGGCTGTTTTTTTTTTCATTTCTTTTTTAACTATTATCCCATCTCTTAATACTAGTTACTTATGTTTTAAAACAAGCTGATGTGAAATTTCGAAAAAAAAAACAATGATGTAATGTGAAAACCTTATAATACAGGGGTATACCATAAGACAGAAATCACATATAATTTTTTTTCGTTGTGTTGCACCAACTTTTTTTTCACGCAATTTTTATGGGTATTAGAGCACACAAAGGACAAACAAACAGCTCGATAACAAGTTCGAACTTGTTTGTTTATACACTCACACTACAAGGCGCGGATCACATATATTTTTTTTCCGTTGTGTTGCACCAACTTTTTTTTCACGCAATTTTTATGGGTGATAGAGCACACAAAGGAGCATAACATATATTAATTTCGTGATTGTAAGTCACAGAGAAGTCAGAAAAAAAAAACATGATATTTTTTATTTTTATTTTTTTAATGTATTTTTTTATTCTAAAAATTATAAAAAAATATATGTGATATACTCTGTAATGTAACCTAACACCTCGCGTTAGTTTCACTTCTTTATCTTAATTAGCTTCAGAGATATATCACATTCAGTAATAGTCAAGCATACGGATATTTTACTCTCTATCTCAAGGTCAAAGCGGAAGTCGGTCGCGAAAAGTACATAAATCGTGTTTGAACATCAAGTCTATATTAAAACATAAGTTTCAATATCGATTCCCATTTGGGGGCCGACTCGTCATACGTATCCGGCTAAACCCTTTTTCAATCATATTTTGCATACCTGTCAAATTCCTTTAGTTTTTTACTTTTTTTATATTTCTTGGACAGGTATGCCAAAAGATTCGAACCCGTAATAGAGAAGACATTAGGGTGATTCCATAGTAACTCACGTTACATTATTACTGCATTATCAATACTAACAATGCAAGCTTACCATATTTTATACTAATGTCAACTATCTTCTTGATGAATCATTCGTTGTTATAATGCACAAAATGTGGGTCTGATCTTATTTTAAATTTATCAGTTAAAGTATTTTTTTAGATTCAATAAACGATGTTGGTAACTCACGTTACCTTTTGCGACATGAGCTTTTGGGTTACTATGGACCTCATATAAATTCTGTTCCAATTGTAAAAAATAAAAATATTAAAAATCAAATCCGTTTTTATTAAATGTCTTACACATGAGATCTTTAAGAATATAAATTATATTAGTAGTACTTCTGCAAAAAAAATTAAGAAATTGTGGTCACTCACGTTACATGGGTTCTGGTAACTCACGTTACATTAATAATTAAAGTATTGTAGTACATATTTTGTACGCTAAAAATTAAAATTAAATAGAAAAATTGTGTTCAAGCTTAAAACTAACATTTTTTCCTTATAATAGACAAAGGAACGTCATCATCAGAGCTATCAGACTCGTCTGATCCATACACAGTATGATAAAATGATTTTTCTTTTATAAGATTTGAGTCAATGGTGACGGACACAGTTTTCACCACACAATTGCTGGTATAAATATTGTGTATCTTTGCAATACCCTCAACGTGTACAGCTGCGTCAAAGACATCCTTTAATTTTAAATTTGCAAACCTCCTTTCAATTTCTTCTTCGTTGACATTTATAACTTTCACACTTGAATATTTATTACCAACCTGAGCAAATTGTTGGGCATTAAAGACGTTTTCTACGCGGCTTATTACTTTCGATCTTACTAAACGTTTTAGGGCACCTCCGATGCCATCAACAGGCCCTTTCCCGTGTGATGTTGCAAAGTAGTTCGATATAATTTTCTTGTTTGATATTTTTTCAAGCAGAGGCAGTGAAGCAGCTATGAATCTATTTTTAAATTGCGACGCTGGGCAATCTGACCAAACGTGGACTTCTTTTATATTGTCCGGAAGTTCTTCTAGTGTCCGTTGCAGGAAAGGGACAATGGTGTCTTTCGTATGGTGTCGGTTATCAGATACGATGACGATTGGAAAATGTTTTCCTCAGTGCCAAAGAGATATTGTGAACAAAGTGACCTGCGGTTGCACCCAGTGAAAGCTCTGCACTTCGTCCTGAGCCAAGCAGGTATAATTTTCTGAGAAATCAATCTGCAAGAGACTTGTCACTTCATTTTTGTTTTTGGTGACTGCCTCTTTGTCTTTTTCATAAGCTTTTGCTTGGCTATTCTTAACAAAGCTATGAACTTTGAAGGAAGGAGTCAGATCGATCAAATGTTTCTGCAGTTCATCCAGATCGCCACTTTGAACTGTTTTACAGAGTTTTCCTTTACTATCTTCCTTCCAGAAATACCACGTTACTTCGATGGCAAACTTTCAGTGTCCCTGATGGCTCTGTCCATCATTTTTTTCAATTTATTTTTACATTTATTGCACTCATTTAGCCAACAATCTTTTGTTGGAGTTTTGCATAAAATATTGTAGAGGAAAGAACTGTCGTAGGCTGGGAATGATTTAGAGACATTGTGGAGAGTATTAACAGCCAAAATATAGTTTTCGTGGTAGCGACACAAACATACATTACGCGGTATAGTAGAGCTTAATAAGACATGTTGCGGTCTTAGCTCTGAAAACTTGCTTTTCCCTACAATCTGTCCATTTTCTTCCACAAATAATGCGTTAACTTCTTTTACCGGCATATAAAGGTGACGAATTTGCTGCTTTGACTTTGTATTACCCTCACGTACGGTTTTTACGTCTTTTAAGCCAGGAGCCTGCCTACTTATATCATCTCTTTCATAGAATTGCTTCACTTTTGCTAATATTTCATCAGAGATGCAGTGTTTTGATTTTTGTGTAGAAGTTGATGGTTCTATATCTATTTCCTCCAAAATCTTTTGAAGTACAGCTTTCTTCCGTAAAGGACATGCAGGCAATGCTTTTTTAACCCTAGATTTAGCTTTACCAAGGGTTTTAGGATTAGAATAAGAAGTACTTTCCAGTTGGTTATCGTCTAAAAGTTCCTTCTTCTTATTTCGATGTCTTTGTACTCTTTCTCTAGTTTTCCTTCTTATTTCCTCTAGTTTTTTGTTCAATTTTGTTTTAGGTAATTTATTTAGCTCTATTTTTGCCTTAGCGCTACTTTTTTGTGCTTGTTGCCTATGTTTGGCCTTAAAATCATCGTATTGTTTCAGTTTTTTTAGTTTTTCCCTTCGACGCCTCATCTTTTCAGCTTCCGTCAAAGCCATTATTTCTAAAACAATACAATAAATTCAACATAATACTACAATATTACAAATCCAGTCACATTGGATCAAACTTAACATCGGTAACCCACGTTACTTCATGTAACGTGAGTTACCGGTCACTCATGTTACAGTATTCATGACATCTTTTCAATAAATCTTTAAAACAATTGTAGAAATATTATTGTACAATACTTTTACTTATCGCTTGTACGAAGTAAATAAAAAAATAGAATCCTTTTTGACTATTATTTATATGTTTAAAAGTAAAAAATATGCCTTTTGGTCACTCATGTTACAAATTTATGGAGGTTAGCTTTTACATAAAATAAAGTAATTTAATTTGAATGCTTACCAAAATATTCGCATCGAAGTAAAAAGGTAGTTATCACACAATATCAACACCGTTATTTGTACCAAAATACCTTAAAACCCTTGAGAAATAAACATTAATTCTGAAATAATAAAAATGTAGGTGTTTTCTAAAGGTAAACAACGTTGCTAATCAAACTGACAGTGAGAAAAAAAACGGTCATCTTTTGTTTTAAAATTAGTGTTGCCAGTTAATTCATTTCAAAAGCTACCTACTTTGTCTACAAATTGTAATGATTGCGTAAGTTTTATTTTGAGCCTATCATGTCGCATTTCAGTGGAAGCACCCATTAGCTAAACTATGCAAAAAATATAAGAAAAGAAATCAGTCTAATAGGTTTGCATTTGAGTTATTAATTAGTTTGATAATCAAGTCGATTATGGCAGGTATATTTCTAAATCTAAATTAAAGTTTGTTCTGCCTCTTTAATTTGACAGAGCAAAAAAGACAAGGGAATATTCTTATTAATTTCTCTTAAGTAGGTATTTATTTTCTTAAAATTGCTTAAAAAATAGTGTAATTTTTCTTTACTCGTAAGTATTTTGTTTACTTACTCAAATAAAAATAAACCATTATTTCTGTCATATATCCCTTTCAAATCGGCGACGAAACTAGGCGGAATTTGTCCCGAAAAAAAGTGCTGTTTATCGTAAAATGAGCTGTTGGTTGCAAATCTGAGGTCGAATTTTCATTTTCCGGCCGCCATCTTGGAAAATTTTAGCCCACACATTTGTATGTATGAGGGCTGAAGACAACGAACACATAATTATGGGACCGCACAATCGTATGTGTGCATCCACACTACAAGCCTAGAGCAGTTGCGATGACGGGCGCGAAATATCAAACAAATGAAACGCATCCTTGTGTCCATATTGTAGTGACTAAGACGGAAGCCTAGTGCGACGGGATTGAGCGAGACAGCGCGCGTAGTTTTCAAACGCTCCTGTCCGCGAGTTCTGGCCTCACTACGGGCCTAGTCAGCGAGCGACCCAATGCGCGGGCGGCGGGGGTAACAAACTAGGTCGGTCTTGACGCTCGGCTTATACACGAGTCTGTATTTGTTTGTCCTAAAATGGCGGTAAATACTGAATTGTTTATAAGTGCGAATCAATCTAAACCACCTTTATGGCAAAGCAAACACCCACAAGACAGTAATCGCACAATAACAAGAAAGTTATGGAGTGAAATAAAAGAACAATTTCCTGAAAGTGAAGGTGAGTTTAATTTAATATAAGTACCTAAAAGTTATTACAATCTTTGATTTTGTTCCCAGAAATAGTTTGTGAATTTTATACGAACATTTTTTGCTCTCCGTGATGGATTATTATTGACTCCGCAGTTTCTGTGACGATTTTCATATGATGGCGGGTAAGATATCATACGTTGAACATCCAGATCGTGATCACCGTTTAAATCCATTATAACGTTATGCAGTATAAGTAAGCTTATGCAGTGTTGATGCAATAAAAGTACCACCATCACTTTGCTTTCCTCGACCGCCTACTTCGACTGCTACAAATTTCCTTTTTGCGTCAGCTACAGCTTGCATGACTATGCTATTTCTTTTTTATAGCACCAATGTGCCGAACCAGATTTAGGTGGTTTTTTTATTTCGCAATGTTTTCCATCAATTGCTCCGATGCAGTGTGGGAAATTCCAGATAGCTGCAAAGTCTTCTGCAATAGCTTTCAGGCGTTGTTCTGTTGGCATCGGCATGTGAATAGGAACTAACTCAGTCCTTAAAACACGGCATGTTTCGTGCACTATAGACGCAATGGTGCTTTTTCCCATACGAAAACTGTAAGCCATTGATCCAAATCCAGTTCCTGTTGACAAAAACCTAAAATAAAAAAATACAATAAAATGTTATACTAATTTTACAGAAAAACAACTGCGTAAGAAGTGGAAGAACCTGCGCGATCAGTTTCGAAAAAAAAAAGAAAAAAAATCCCTACGCCGCGCTCTGGTGACGGTGGTGACGATGAAATAGAGAGCACATGGCCATAATTTCAACTTATGCAATTCATAAACGATGACATTACACCTGAAGTCATGACGGGAAATCTGCATGACAGTGATTCGGAATCTCTCAACGAGTCTTGTCAAACTGAGCAATCTAACATTGCTGACGTGATGAGTCCAGGTACGTCAACCTGCAGCAGTCGCACAAACGCGTCAAAGCGTAACAAAACGGCATCTGATTATAAAGATGAACTTTTAGAATGTGAAAGAAAAAAAATGATGCTAATTGAACAAAAAATGGTATCAAATAGTGACCAGACGGAGAAATGTGATGATTATCACTTTTTTATAAGTCTCCTGCCACAAATGAAAAAATTTAATGAATTACAAAAGTTATGCATTCGAAATAAAATTACCCAAATTATAATAGACGAGGCAGAAAGGATGCAGTTTTCTCATCCGAGATACGAGGAAAATTATGGAGGGTATTCTACTGGCAACTAACCTAATTATTAATTTGATTATCGTTTATTTTTACTTACGTAGTTGTTGGATTACTAATAATAATATAAAACTATAAAGAAAATTGTTTTATTCTTACCTCAGAGTTATGAACAATTTCTCCTCAGGTCTAATACATTTGCGAAAGTTAGTATCTTCTTTGGTGATTTTATGTGATATTTTATTTAGTATATAGTCAAATGTAGACACATGCATTCGAGTGTACTCAAAGAATTTTGTGGGATATAATCTCAATTCTTTATACGAGGGTCAAACTGAAAGTTCTTAGAACTGGCCACTTATAAACAATATAATAAAAAAATAATTCTAAAATTTGAAAATATAACTCTTTGCCAATATTACTGAGTATATATTTCATTAATTTGTCATTTGTTTTACGATTTGGCGGCAAATTGAAAATTGTCTGTGTCACGTCATCATGAATTTAACACGAGAAAATTTTCGTGCAATGATTTTTTATGACTTTCGATGTCATTTAAGTCAACAAGAAAGTTATGATAGACTACGATTGGCCTTTCACGATGAAGCCCCATCTCGTGCGACTGTTTACAACTGGTTTAATGAGTTTAAACGTGGTCGCACTAATCTCACTGATGATTTACGTGAGGGACGGCCTTCTACGGCGACGACTGAAGATAACATCTGTGTTGTGCGGCGTATGATAGAGACTGACAAAAGAGTGACCTATCAACAGATTCGGACAAGCTTAGGCATCGGTATGAGTCAAGTGCACAAAATCCTCCACGAACATTTAGCGGTCAGGAAGCTTTGCGCCCGGTGGATACCTCATAATTTGACTGAGGCTCAAAAACTCCATCGTGTGGATTGGTGTCGTAAAATGATTGAAAGATTTAACGGAGGTGACTCAAATGCTGTGTTCGACATACTAACAGGTGACGAAAGCTGGATTTACTGTTATGATCCTAAAACCAAAAGACAATCTGCTCAGTGGGTGTTTCCTTTCGAGGAGTTGCCAACTAAAGTGAAGAGAGATCGAAGTGCGGGAAAAAAAATGGTGGCCTCGTTCTTTGGAAGGATAGGTCATTTTGCAACAATTGTGTTAGAGGATCAAAAAACAGTTTCTGCAGAATGGTACACTACCAATTGTTTGCCACTTGTCTTGGAAAAAGTTCGAGAGAAACGACCTCGCAGTAGGATCCTCCTTCACCACGACAACGCCTCGTCGCACACCGCCAAGCGAACGATCGACTATTTGGCGACATCAAACGTTGAATTACTGGGTCACCCGCCGTATAGCCCCGACCTCGCGCCTTGTGATTTTTATTTATTTCCAAAAATTAAAGAAAAACTTAAAGGAAAGCGGTTTATGAATGCTGAAGAAGCGGTGGCTGCGTATCGCGATGCCATTGAAGAGACCCCTAAGGACGAGTGGGCAAAGTGCTTTTCCCAGTGGTTCCATCGCATGCAGCGGTGTATTGACGTGAATGGACAATATTTTGAAAAGATATAATAAAACTAATAACTGGCTAATGTAATCAGTTTTTGATTTTCTAAGAACTTTCAGTTTGACCCTCGTATAAGTAAAAAAATTCAGCAGTTATTCCTCTGTTTTTATTTATATCGTGCACACCATCTCTAGGTGTTCAACACCTCCCATCTCAGAATTGGACTGTCTAGTAAAAATAGCAAATCCTCGTCCATGGTTTGCAACACCCGATACACGTCCAACCGCTACAAGAGCTCGCACGTTACTGTGGCCACCGCACGCCCCCACTCGCCGCGCCCGCCTCCAGTCACCGCGCATTCAGTGTGGACGCACACTATGAAGATGGGCCTAAGCTTATAAATTCATCGAAATGATTTTTTTTTTTATTGAGAAATTAAATGTTTATTGGCTTAAATTCAACAATATTTTAAATTCGAACATGCGAAATCAACAAATAATAATAGAAAATCAGGTAACTATTACCTCTTTTTAGTATAAATCAGTCTTTAAAGTGCTGATTCAGTCTTAAAATTGCTGTAAATGTGAGGAATCAAGTAATATTTTAATTATGGAAATTTTAAAAGCAATTTCTGTCCTTTGTGAGGCACAGATAAACGTCACACTTAGAGCATCGACAACGTGTTCTACTGGTACACCTCAAAGCGCGGCAGGCTCGAGGTTCCTTCAGAGTATCCATGACTGGCCAGTGATTATACCAATCTCTTTGCATGTCAACGGATAGTGAAGGCTTTGCACGGTATTTTGAAAAGCTGGGCATTTCAGCAAACTCTGGTTCTCGATTATCTCCAGCAGCCCTTGGTGAACCTGCTAAGCTTTGCAATCTAATCTACATTCCATCTAGAAGTTGACGATTTGATGACAACAAATGTAGCATAAGTTTCAACGTCCATTTTCTTGATTTTAACCAAGTTCTATAATTTTCCATCATCTGATCACAGGTGTCAACTCCTCCCGTGTAAGCGTTATAGTTTTTCACAATTGCTGGACAGGAAACATCGATGTATTGCCTTGATTTCTTTTCCCATATAGGTACAATTGATGTAGGCTCACTACCAAAAGCTGTCGAAGTTAGCCATACACCTTATCCTTCCATTTTTTATTATCCTTCTATTTTAAAATGCAGATATTTTTATCAACGCTTACAATCTCTTCACATTCTCCTCTTTTCATTGCAGTCTGATATTCGGAATGGGTTTATTTAAATAAAATACGTTCGTTCACGATAAGCGACATTTATTAACTAACTCATCAATACACCACATCATCCCCGTTACAAAAAAAAAATTAAACAAATGATAAATCTTAATAACATTTCATTCATTATACTTTAACATTGGTACAATATAAATCAATATCTTCGATCGACAGAATGTCTAATCAAAAGAATCTCGGGTTATGGATAACAAACATTGTGTCAGTATTCTGTCACAGAATGAATGATCTTAACAAAAAAAATATGTATAGAGTTATAAAGTCTAGCATTTAATCATATCAATCTTAACTTTAAATGTATTTGTTTGTATAATATAAAATTTTATATAGATATTTAATAATATATAACATATATGTAGTTATATATTTATTTTTAAATTTGATGTGAATATTGCTCGAGCAATTATAAACTTATGAAACTAGAAATTAAGATAGAGCGCTCTATTTTATCTTATTCTAAGTAAAAGGTATTTAACTTTAACTGCTCAAAGCATGATTTCATTATAAAAATTTGTTTACATATTCAAAACAAACGTTATTTTTCCTTATATAACTTTGTTCGATTTTTATGTATAATGTCTTGTATGTTACCTTTTTGTATTCTGACATTTATACCTAGGTCCTCTATTACATTATATGGTTCTAAATAAATTGGTTGACTTTTATCATTTGATTCATTTTTTATCAATAACAAATCATCCTTTTTGTAACACTGTGGTCTTATTGTTTCGTCATATTGTAAAAATCCCAAAAAGTCAAAAATGTAATAAAACACAAGGTTCTATGGCAAAGGTTATTTATTCAAATAAACGTTGAAGTATATAAGTATTTGGTAAAAGAACTTACATATGCGATGTAGAAATATATGTTAACTAACACATTTATAGGGCACACAAACATCATTGCCATCTAGCGATCATAAATATATACAAACTGACAACCACAGACATTATGAAAGGACATTACTTAACATTCCGGCCGCCGTGGACAAGTCCATAAACCGTGAAACACATCTAATGCAAAAATTACACTTACATCAACCAATAGAATTATACGAAAACATCTTTTAGAGTACACGAAATAAAAGATACGTATACAATAAAACAAAAACAAAAATTGACACTGTGGCTTATTAAAAAAAAATAATAATAACACAAAATTCAACATGCAATTGATTACAATGTGACACTACAAAAGTGTCTGCTTATTCTACAGGTAATATAACTAATTTAGATACAGGTCGCTTAATTATGTTGCCTTTATAACGTAGTGAAACGACGCGTGTAAGTTTGTCCAAACCAGGATGTTTTTCGACTATGACTCCAAAAAGCCAACGAGAGGGAGGAAGGTCGTCTTCCTTAACTAAAACTACGTTCCCTACTTCAGGTTCTGTAACTTGATCCGACCATTTATACCTATGCTGTAGTTGCGTCAGATATTCATAAGACCATCTACGCCAGAAATCTTGAACCATACGCTGTGTCAAATGCCACCTTTTCAAACGGTTAAGATTTATCTGTTCATAATTGTTATCAGGGACAAGCACTAATGGCTCTCCGACCAAAAAATGGCTAGGTGTCAAGGGAATTGGATCTTCTGGGTTGGTTGACATTTAGCAAATGGGTCTTGAGTTTAGACACGCCTCAATTTGTGATAGGAGTGTTGTCATCTCTTCAAAGGTGAGAGTGCTATTGCCTATGACCCGCTTGAGATGGTGTTTGGTGGATTTAACACCCGCTTCCCACAATCCTCCAAAATTTGGAGAATGTGGTGGGATGAAATGCCAATCTGTGCCATTAGAAGTCATCCAATCCACTATTTCTGTTGTAAAACTAGACCTTTCTGTACTAAAAAGTTCTTTGAGTTCTTTTGCACTTCCCACAAAGGTAGTCCCATTATCACTCCACAAATGAGCAACATGTCCTCTCCGTGCAACAAAACGTTTAAATGCGGCTAACGGCTAAAAAGCTTTGAGACGTCATATCGCTTACCACTTCAAGGTGAATAGCTTTAGTCGCCATACATATAAACAAACATATGTAGCCCTTTGTGGAATGGTGACCTCGACCCTTTGAGGTTCTAATATTAATCGGACCTGCATAATCCACACCACTACAGTGGAAAGGTCTATTTGCAGTTACCCTAGCCACAGGTAACTGCCCCATAAGTTGTTGTCTTGTTTCAGCTCTTTGACGGACACAAGTAACACATTCGTGTACGAATCGACGAACGAAATCTTTTGCACCTATGATCCAATATTTACTCCTCAAGAAATTTAACATTACTTGAGGACCACCGTGCA